ATCTAAGTAGTGCTAAATCACAACGCCAGTTCACAATTCGCTCGTGTGTGCACGCACACACACACACACACACACACACACACTCAAACACGCACAGCTTGAAGGAAGGATTTCTATCCAATCAGTGAGAACAGGGCGTGCACATTGATTGGACGAGGTTTTTCTAGGATGGTAGGTTTCAATTGTGATTAAAATTATTCTTTATTTTGAGAAAAAATAATTTTTTAAGATGCCATCAGCATGTGAGGTATCTCAATGTTTTCATGACAAAACTCTACTTTAACTCCACATTACAGTTCCTTTATTCGTGTCCATCCTAGAGCTCCTCTCTGACCTTCATGCTTATTTAGAGCAGCTGATTTTTAAAGGTAGCAGAGTTCATCCTTGGTTGTGGGTTCACTCACTCATTTAACCCTTCACCACTGAAATCAGTTTGTTCATTCCAATCCTCCTAAATAATCCTCCAGTCGTCCAACTGGAATCCTTTAGGGTCCCGTAACGTCCATCCTGTCAGAACAGGCCTTGGGAGCCCAGGTGTTACTAGAACTAATGGTGTCTCCTCACCAGCGTGAGCCTCCAAACTGTGAAGGTTGGTCTCCAAACATGAACTTTAAATTCATTCATTTATCTCCTCTTGTAACTCTTGAACATGTTTTAAAAGGCTTGTATCATGATAAGTTACACCTCCCAGACTAAAGATAAGATAAAACATTATCGTAGAAACTACTGAGACGTCATTATTTATGAAATATAAGTTATTTTCCTGAGCCATTACTTCAGCCAAGATATAAGATGCACGGATTTGATGAAACCACGCTGTCTCATGCTGTTCTACATGTGTAACACACACACACACACGCACGCACATGCACACGCAAGCACGCGCGCGCGCACACACACACACACACACACACACACACAGCAGCAGCAGCATGTTAGAATCATGTGAATGACTAATTTAACTACATTGAACTGCTTTAGTAATAATTTAATCTCTTATTCTGGAGTAAAATAAAGAAACAAGCTAAATCATCACATATCTGTGGCATCAAGAAGCATCTTCTGAGTTTAAACACAGGGATGGAGCACAATGTTTACACCTGAACAGTATCAGGATGTTTTAACTCACAGAGACCTGCAGGTCTTCTGTTTTATAAGCAGAGCACTGATAATCCGCTTGTTATGAGCGCTAAACGTTATTTTGCCGCTGCCGTGCGGAGCGGCAGGGAAACACATTTCAAACACGGAACCGAGTCCGGCTACCAAACCGAGCAGATTTCTGATGACGTCACACCGGTGCGCGAAGGTGCGGGATCCAACCCACAGGAGAGGAGGGAGAGAGGAGGTAAACAGCGAGTTGAGGAACTGAACTGACGTCTTTGAGCTAAAGTGTACACCCCCACACCCCCCACGGTTTAGACGTGGCGCTCATTCAGGTGTCTATTTCCATTCCGACACTGCTACACGTAATATTTTTAATTTATTAAGCCTATAATTTATTTTTACTCAGTAACGGATATGATTTAAAATGTAGCGAATTACAATTCTTATTTAAAAACTTACTCAAGTAAAAGTAAAAGTACAGCTTTTAAAAACGACTTAAAAAGTATAAATATACAAAAAAGCTACTCAATTACAGTAACGTGAGTAAATGTAATTCGTTACTTTCCACCTCTGCTGTGCGTGAATGTTCTTCAGTGAAATAGGTTTGTGTGTAGTGTGTGTCTTTTTGCTGAGTTGCCGCACACCACACACTGTAGGACCAAAACTGCTGTATCCATGATTTTCTATGCGTGTGGTCTCTCTTTCTTCAAAAGTCTGTCCACAATTTCAAAATTTGAACCGGGCCATAGATTACAGGACTAAAAAGGACAAAAAGTGTTAAACTTATAACTTGCTAGAATAATTTTGCAGTATCTAAATGGCATGGGTTCAGTTCAGAGCACAAGTTGTAATACCAATAAGGTGAAACGAAAAGCGAAAGTGCACCTGCACTGGTTCCAAAGACGGGCGGCCGTCAGCCTCCTCAGGCAGCTTTTACCTGGAAACGCAGCAAGAAGCTGGAAGCAGCGTTGCCTTCTGGTTGTTCCTCCCCTTTCAGATGTGATCATCTACTTCTAATGGATACGGTTCAGCTATAATTATTATGTTCACATTAAAAAGAGATTTAATGGTGACACAGCTAGACTCTATTTCATTGTTATTTAAACTTTCTTATAAGAAAATAAACAAACTGTGAATTAATATTCACTATATACCATTTGGAAAGTCTATGGTCTAGTCCAGGCGTGGGGAACCCTGGTCCTCGAGGGCCGGTATCCTGCATGTCTTTGCTCCAACACTTCTGATTCAGTGGTTGATTCACCTGTGCAGCAGCTCATCAGGCTCTGCAGAAGCCTGTTGATCACCTGCTGATTGAAATCAGGTGTGTTGAAGCAGGTTTGCAATAAAATATGCTGGACAGCGGCCCTCGATGGGCCAGGGTTCCCCACCCCTGGTCTAGTCACAATATTTGAACCATAGTTTGATAGTTTGAGTTAATCTTTGCTGCCCTCTGCTGGCTGATAGCAGAACTCCAACAACCGGGACAGAATATATTATAATTTAACAGTGAAATAATTATTTCTGTCTTTTTACAGTTCAAATACATGTTTTATGTTCATTAAAGCTAATATTCAATAATGACACAATGTCGCTGTTGTAACTGAACTGTAAACAGAAGACACGTTTCTACAGAAGCCCTGAAAAGGCAACAGCAAAAAATATTTTTGTACTGGTATTTTCCTGAATATATCCATCCATTCATTTTTCAGCCGCTTATCCGGAGTCGGGTCATTGGGGCAGCAGCCTAAGCAGAGAGGTCTAGACTTCCCTCTGCTCAGCTACTTGGGCCAGCTCCTCCGGGGGCAACCCAAGGTGTTCCCTGGCCAGCCAAAAGACACACGAGTCGAACGGTCGAACACCTTTTCTAAATCCACAAAACACGTGTAGACTGGTTGGGCAAGCTCCCACGCGCTCTCCAGGGTCCCCCTAAGGGTATAGAGCTGGCCCAGTGTTCCACAGCCAGGACGAAAACCACATTGTTCCTCCTGAATCTGAGGTTGGACAATTCGCTGTTATAACACACTCTACGGTTCCCCTTTTTAAATAGGGGGACCACCACTCCAGTCTGCCAATCCAGTGGAACTGCCCCCGATGTCCGTGCGATACTGCTGAGTCGTCTCAACCAACACAGCCCAACAACGTCCAGAGACTTAAGGAACTCTGGGTGGATCTTATCCATTAGAGGAGTTTTTGATCACCTCAGTGACCTTGGCCCCAGAGACGGGAGAGTCCAACTCAAAGTCCCCAGACTTTGCTTCCTCGCTGGAGGACGTGCTGGTGGGATTGAGGATGTCTTCGAAATATTCTGTCTATGCACCGATCCGCATCGTCCCGAGTAGAGGTCAGCAGCACACTGCCCCAATTAAACCGTGTTGGCAATGGCAGCGCACTGTTTTTCCCTCCTGAGATGCCGGATGGTGGACCAGAATTTCCCTGAAGCCGTGCAGAAGACTCGCTTCATGGTCTCACTGAACTCCTACAGGTTTTTGCATCCGCGACCACCCGAGCTGCATTCCGCTTAAACTGCCGGCACCCTTCAACTGCCTCTGGGTCCCACAGGGCTAAAAGTCCCGATAGGACTCTTTCTCCAGCTTGGCAGTATCCCTAACCACCAGCGGGTTCGAGGGTTGCCACCACGACAGGTATTGTGGAACCTGCTGCCACAGCTCCTGCCAGCTGCCTCGACAATGGAAGCATGGAACATGGCCCACTCCAACTCACTGTCCCCCGCTTCCCACCAGGCCCTCACTATATGTTTAGGCCTGCCTGGTCTGACCGGCTTCCTCCCCTATCATTGAAGCCAACTCACCACCGGGTAGTGATCAGCTGACAGCTCCGCCCCTCGCTTCACCAGAGCGTTCAAGACATGCAGCCGCAGATCAGATGAAACAACAACAAAGTTGATCATCCATATTTTTATGTTTGTTTTGTTTTCTCTGCTGTAATTCAATCCCTTATGTTTTCAGAATGTAATTTAAAAAGCTCATAAGGCCAATTTCACCGATGATGAACATAAAACAGATGATAAAAACTGATCACTCCACATAGTAAATTATTTTGTATAAATTACAAAATGACAATTTATATTGACAATGAACTAAAGTGCATCACATGATGTTTACCAAAATGTCAGCTCTCTGCAGAACGTTTCCATGACTCCATTGAAACAGGAGCTGTGCTCGCTGCTCCAGTTCTGTCTAATTCTTTTGAATGCATGACAACTTTTTATGATTAATGACTCTTTTGGGATCATGGTGTGCACGTACGTGCACGTGTGTGATGCTCTGAGATGGCCGGTCATGATCAAAAGGCTCATAATCCGATCATGTGGGTTAGTGTACCAATGGAACCTGATCAGCTGTATTTACTGATCCAAAATAAGCGTCTTTATGATTTGTGTGTGTGTGTGTGTGTGTGTGTGCGTGCGTGCGTGCGTGTGCGTGCGTGCGTGTGTGTGCGTGCGTGTGCATGTGTGTGCATGTGTGTGTGTGCGTGCGTGTGTGTGCGTGCGTGTGTGTGCGTGCGTGTGTTTCAGTCAAACTCACAAAAAGACGGAAGTTCTCTCTCCATGATTTGGGTCAAAAATGAGTTGTTGTGGCCCGGCTCCTGATTTCTGGCTCCGATCCTGGTGCACAAAAAAAGGGGCCTTTACAGAGCGCCTTCTTTTAAAATGCAGAGGGTGGAGAGGGTGGAGGTGGGGCTTGAACATACATAAGAGGGAATGACAGTCGACCCTGTCCAATTTGGCACGACATCACCAATTTGCTTTTGCTGAACCTACGCGAGGCAGCTGATTGGATCTTTTCACTCATTTAGAACCTTCTTCCTCTCTTGGTGCTTGTTAAAAATAATCCTTTTGGCTCTAACATCTTTGGAAGACAAACAACAGATTGGTGATGAACGCGGACAGGTTGCTCAGAACTGAGGCTTTGTTCTGGATGTCGGACATAGATAACGTGACTGATGGCCAGCCCCGTGACCTGGTTCTGCAACCCGTTTGGGACTACCTCCATCAGAACCACCATGACTTGCTGAGGAGCCCTCTCTTCCCTGTGGTCCTCTCAGTCACCACCTACTTCCTTCTGGTTGGTGTTTACACCACACTGGACCTGCTGGCTCCCACCTGGCCTCGCATAAACCATTACCGGCTGCATCCAGACAAACCCGTCACCTGGCCGAACATCTGGAACACCCTGGGTGTCACTATCTACAACCACCTGTTTTTCATCTTTCCTGCTGCCGTTGCTCAGTGGCTGTGGAGGCCGCCGACCCCTCTGCCCCCTGAAGCACCCACCCTCTGGAGCTTCTTCCTGGGCATCCTGGGCTGCATGGTTGTCTTTGACTTTCAGTACTACCTGTGGCACCTGCTGCACCACCGGGTTCCCTGGCTGTACCGCACCTTCCACGCCGTGCACCACCAGTACAACCAGCCTTTTAGCCTGGTCACCCAGCACTTGTCAGGCTGGGAGCTGTTCTGCGTGGGATTTTGGGCCACAGTGGACCCCATCCTGCTACAATGCCACAGCCTCACAACGTGGGGCTTCATGGTCTTCAATGTGTACGTTTCTACTGAGGACCACTGTGGCTATGACTTCCCATGGGCCACGCACAAACTAGTGCCCTTTGGCCTTTGGGGTGGTGCCCCTAAGCACGATGCTCACCACCAGCGTCCTGGGACTAACTTTGCCCCGTTCTTCTCTCACTGGGACCAGCTGGGAGGAACCCACACCGTACCAACTCCCACCAGCCACGAATCAGACGAACCAGAGGAGAAAGAGGAGACTGAAGACTGAAGAGCCTGAAAACGCCTCTGCCTTCACATTTCTTCTCTTTCTCTCTGACAAACCGGTTCCTACTTTACAGTTTTTTTCCTTTTAATCTTCAAACTTATTATTATCATTATACTAACTCACCCTTCTCTCCTGACTGGTACGTTTTTTTAAAAACCGTTCCACACACCAGTTTATGTGTAGATGATCCTGTACTGCTTCACATTCATCTCTGATTCTTAGAGACTTCTCACCGTTTGGGTGTTGATGTTATGTGTGCTGCCTTCATGGTGTTCTCAGGTATGTTTCCACACGTGTGTGAGATATTTTCAGCAGCAATACCTTGAAAAATAAGAGTGGAACAACAAAAACATCGATTGGAGATTAGCGTGATTAAATGTCACCGAGCGGCTCTGACTATTTGCTGGCGGTGTGTGGTGTGATGTGATTACACACACGGCGTGGATGTTCTTCCTCTCTCTCCCTCCTCAGTGCTGACCCTTTCACTCATGAATGGTGGTCTTTTAGCTGCATCCCAGCGTCATGCGTGGCCGCAATACTAATCCATCATTCTATCTTGGAGACAAATTCTCTGAATGGAACAGTTAACTGAGCTCCTGAAGAACATCGTTGAAATGTAAAAATCTTCAACTGGTGAATTGCGTTTTGATCGTTCTTAGATGGTTTTCACAGCTCCAAACATTGTTTTATTCATTATCTTTCATTCAGTATTTTTATTTCTTTATTAATTTCCTCATTTACACATTTCCTCTCCTGAGGGCTTTCCTCAAACATAACATCGAAAAAAATTGTTACTCATCTAAACCAGCAGAGGTCACTCTTTGACCAAATATAACAACATCAGCAAGGCCTCAAATCTTAGATTCAAACATAGTCTGTGGTTAAAAAAAAAGTTATAATGGTCTCATTCGGTCATGCGGGGTTAAAATGACTCATAGGACATAAATGGACTCATAACTTATCCAAACACCGGAGATCTCTGTGACTTCTCTATGTGTTTGGTTTTATTTACCATGCAACAGAGATGGTTCAGAACTGGTTTAACACGTTTCTGTTATAAAACAAAATTGTTGAAACAAGTCTTGCCTTTACAGAAATAATAAGTGAAATATCCCCATGCATCTCCAAAAGCAAAGTCATTTGGGGTGGACTTTTTCCCTACGTTTGTATAGAGCACCAAAAGTAAATCAGTACAATTAAATAAAAACTGGTTTGTTACATTTAGCTTTAACAAACCTATAAGGTGAGGTTGACAGAAAAAACAGAATTTTTTATTATTATAATCAGCCCCTTTTGAGTTTTTTGTGCAAGCTGAGCATGAAAATAGTTTCCTACACCGATCTGCATAAGCTTCTGATGGAAAATAGATGGTGAAAATCCTCACAGATCTACGTCACACTGTGAATTAACATACACAGACTCACCCATCTTGACTCATCCGCTTTGTCCATGTGGGGTCACGGGGGGGGGGGGGGGGGGTTATCTCCAGCAGTTAACGGGCAAGTAGGCGGGGTACACCTTGGGCAGAGAGCCAGTCCATCACAGGGCAACACAGAGACACACAGGACGAACAATCATGCACACACACCCTCACACCTAAGGACAATTTAGAAAGACCAATTAACCTAACAGTCATGTTTTTGGACTGTGGGAGGAAGCCGGAGTACCCGGAGAGAACCCACGCATGCACAGGGAGAACATGCAAACTCCATGCAGAAAGATCCCAGGCCGGGAATCGAACCAGGACCTTCTCGCTGCAAGGCAACAGCTCCAACCACTGCGCCACTGCGCAGCTAAATTTCAGTTAGTTTAAGCTAACCATTAGTGTTAGCACTACCACCTCACAGCAGAAGCCCCTCAAGCATTGCTGTTACCCAATCTGGGGTGAGGTTTCCAGATATCAGGAAGTAAAACACCAAGATCCGTAGACATGAAAACGTAGACGCCCCTTTGGGCGCTGGAGAGCGTGACAGCATTGCCGCCACATTGGGTGGGTCTCCTCACTCTCCAAACCCAAATGGAGTCAACGTTGAGAGAGCAACTATACCCGTTTGTTTTACAGCTTATTGTGCAACAACCAGTGCACTATTGAAAACAGATCATGTGGGACTTTTCTGACACTTTTCTACCTGTTGGGATTTCATATTAAAATATTTTTTTATTTATTTTATGTAATAATATTTATATTTTAACTATCATGTCATATCATGTGTCAGATTTTATGAAAAAGCATAATAAAATGTGTTTTTAGCTTGTTAAACACATTCCTCAGTAGAAATAAATGCACTGGAGGCAAATGGAGACCCATCCAAGGTGGCGGCCGGCTACTACGCCAGCACCAGTCTATGGGGCATCTGCGTATATGTCTGAGGCTAATTCTGAAGCTCAGCTGTGCTGTTGCAGGTCTGCTTTGTGCCCTGAATACTGCCTGCCAGGCATTCATTCCCAGTAGAGACCACTGCAAACGTATCGATGAAACCAGTAATCCACTCTTTTAAATACATATTTAGATATTTATGTAAAGTTAGGACTCAGTTTACATTTAAATGTTTAATGCAGAATCAGTTTGCTGTGTGGTTATTAAAGAACCAATCAAGTTGGATCTGAATGTTGAGGTGAGGAGCTGAACGGTGGCAGTTTGTAGCACTGTTGCCTCCCAGCATGTAGGTTGCTGGTTTGATTCCCACCTATGCAGCCTTCTATGCCTTTAGGTATGTTAGGTTGATTGGAGACATAAACTGTTCCTAAGTGTGTGTGTGTGTGTGTGTGTGTGTGTGTGTGTGTGTGTGTGTGTGTGTGTGTGTGTGTGTGTGACTGGTTGTTTGTCTCCCTGTGATGGACTGGAGACCTGTCCGGGGTGTCCACATGACTACTGCGCTGCACAACCAGTAGGTATTTGTACAGCAGAGTATTCAGATTACAGATGGCTGGACAGAACTGTTGGCTGTTCTGCATGTTAATAGGTACATTGTAGTTCAAAACAATGCATTTAGCTAACATGCAAAATCAGACTGTCTTAAATAGGAAGCTAACAAGAGCAGGGAAGGAGATCCCCTATTTAACGACCCAGAGTCCCTTTGATGGTTAAACTGTGAATCTGTTTAAACATTTACCAATGTTCCTGGGTTCTTTCTACACAAAGTAATAAATGATTCAAGGCAAACCGACTCACACACATCCTTACAACCAGAGACAAACGGGATCAAATGCAACACGTATAGCTATATCTAGTTGTGGTACTTTGTCTAATCGGTGCCCCAACTTGCCCCATTTCCAGACAGCGGTCTGGTTCTGTGAGTTTAGTGTGGCCTCGAGCGGCTGAACTTGTGGAAAGGTGGTTGAACTTGCTGCTCTAATGAATCCACCTTTTGTTTTTGGTTTATTCTTGCAGTAGTTTACCCAACGTTGACAAATGAATGAATGATCACATTACTGAGAGTTTTGAGGTGACTGTAAATTTAGTGTCACAGAGTTCTAGCATTCACACCACTTGCACTGTGCATGTGTGCAAACAAAATGTATTCACTTTAGGGTTGCATGTCAGTGCAGTTGGTTTCACAGTTACCACACGCAAGAAGGTCGCAGGTCATCTCAGATCAGCAGGTACAGGAGTCTGCAATCTGCAACCTCTTTACTCCATTAATCCAACTCTACACGCTGTGGTGCTGATCCATTTTTAGGTTCATGTTTTGAACATATTTTTAGGAGAACAGATGTATCCCCATAAGATATAATTTTTCATTGTTTCCGACCCTGGTACCACAGATCCTCTATCCGGCATGTTTCAGGAGTTTTCTCACCTCCGACAAACAGGATTTTAGCAAGTGGGTGATACGACTTCTGCAGTGCTCGAAGACTTGCTGAAATGGTGAGTCAATAGCTGAATTAGGTGTGTTGGGGCAGGAAAACAACAGAAGCATGCTGGATGGGAGATCTTGAAGACCAAGGTTGGACAGCACTGAATTATCACATTTTCGTGGCCCATGTATGAGGTTGGAACCTCATACCCATGAGGAAAATGAACCTGACAATTTTAAAACGTTTGGACACCCCTCATATAGGCAGAGGTTTTTTTTTTTTTTGCATACAAATACCTGTTTAATACTGAAATAAGGTATTTTAAAGACACAGGTAGAAATACTGTCTTTGATAATAAATAAAAATATCCAACTAACTGGCCTGTTTCATGACATCATTTATTGTATCTCGACCAGAAAAGGGTGGCTTGCCAACTCCGGGTCGGGAGAGAGGTCCTACCTCAAGTGGAGGAGTTTAAGTATCTCGGGGTCTTGTTCACGAGTGAGGGTAGGAGGGATCGGGAGATCGACAGGCGAATTGGTTCAGCATCTGCAGTGATGCGGACGCTGAGTCGATCTGTAGTGGTGAAGAGGGAGCTGAGCCAGAAAGCCAGGCTCTCGATTTACCGGTCGATCTACGTCCCAATCCTCACCTATGGTCATGAGCTTTGGGTAATGACTGAAAGAACGAGATCGCGGATACAAGCGGCCGAAATGAGTTTCCTCCGTAGGGTGGCCGAGCTCAGCCTTAGAGATAGGGTGAGGAGCTCGGACATTCGGGAGGGACTTGGAGTAAAACCGCTGCTCCTTCGGATCGAAAGGAATCAGTTGAGGTGGTTTGGGCATCTGGTCAGGATGCCTCCTGGATGCCTCCCTGGGGAGGTGTTTCGGGCATGTCCTGCCGGCAGGAGGCCCCCGGGTCGACCCAGGACACGTTGGAGAGGTTACATCTCCAATCTGGTCCGGGAACGCCTTGGGGTCCTGCCGGAGGAGCTGGTGGAGGTGGCCGGGGAGAGGACGGTCTGGAGCTCCCTAGTTGGGATGCTGCCCCCGCGACCCGGATAAGCGGAGGAAGACGACAACATTTATTATATCCCTTAACTTTTTGAAGTAGGAGACTTTCACGAATGCGTTAAGGCCTTGTATGCATGTTTAAGTATTTCACTTAGATTAATGATTAAAACAACAAAAACATTTGTTTTTTTCTGCTGACCCTTAAAGGAACTTAGCAAAAACAAAAAAAAAAGTTTCTTGTGCGCACAAGATAAGGATATTAAGAAAACATCTACCTCAAGCTCACAAAAAATGTTCTAATGGGCACAAGATAATATGCAGTGTGCATGACAAACCTTTTTTTTTTAACTAATGTCGCTTTAGGGTTTTTTCTTTGTCCTCGTGAACGTGCCAGTAAAACTGGGGCTGCCATGGCTGAACGGTTCGATGAGCGGTCGGTCACGATACTGACCCGTCCCGTGCATCATTAGGCACATCTAACAGGACAAGCCAAAAATAAAACATTAATTTGCATCGGTGGGCCCTAGGTTTAGACACACAGAGCTGTTGTGTTCATCACAGACATAAAAGAGGAAGAGGCAAAAGTACAAATAATCACGTTCTGTTCCATTCACGTAGCTGACTGTGTGTGTGTGTGTGTGTGTGATGTAATGAGACTAAAACGAGCATCACGAGGTGTTGCCTCTCTTTCTGGTTAGTTCACATCTTCTTTGAGTCATCAGTGTTGGTGTGTTTCTGTCTTTAGTTGTTTTGTAGATATTGTGATTCATCAAACTCCTCCAACCCCAGACTGTTTCCCAGTGTAAACATGTTTCACAGCGTTGCCAGAAAACAATAACCAAATGACTTTTGTCTCTTTCACGCTGCGTTAACTCAGGTTTGTTTGACAAAAGCCGTGTCTGTGCAACAAGATCAGGGCGTGGAGTTGCACTAAGAGTCGTAAAAGAAAGTATTTGAGTGTGACAGTAGAGAAAAGGTAAAACGACACTCCACAACAATCATTCACCTCGTTAAACCGCCTCCAGCAATGTCACCACCTGTTATTACAGACAGCCATGGGGGGGGGGGGGGGGGGGGGGGTAAAGACGCACTCAAGCACAGTTTACAAAATAAAGACCACAAGTTGTTCACACTGGTCAAACTAGCTTTGTGATTCATTCTATTATTATTATCATTAATAATAAATACAGGCCATTTTATGTTGGGATCAACTAAAAATAAACTGTAGCTAGCTCACCTGTGACGAATTTCAAAGTGTTTGAAAAAGGCAGCAAATGGTAAAGGGATTGTATTTGATAAAAGCACCTTCGAGTCCTAGAACCCCCCCAAGGTGCTTTACAACACATTCAGTCATCCATTCATTCACACCCTGGTGGTGATGAGCTACAATGGAGCCGCAGCTGCCCTGGGGAACTGACAGGCGAGGCTGCCGACCACCACCATCAGGCGTGGTGGACTACGCGTCTTGCCCAAGGACACAACAGCAGCATTCTCTGGTGGATCCAGGATCGATCCTACAACGCTTCGGGTCCTGGACCACCCGCTCTCCCTCCTGAGCTGCTTGCAAAGTGAATATGTACAACAGGGCTGTGATAAAACCTTGAAACCAAGATGTTCATCTCGAACGTTGAGGTGCTGCATGCAGGTGAAATGTGTTCAGACAGAAACCTGCTGGACGAAAACTTTCTGAGCTCATCCCCCAAAACGTGCCTCATCACGCTCGGAACAGCCGCTTGTGACTCGATCTGTAACCAGCTCCACCCCGATCCCAAACTTCTAGTTAAGGTTTTAAATAAACACCCAAATGCCTAAAACATCTCCAGACGCCAACGCCACGCATTCCAACAATTCTTCACATTTTAAAACGACAGCGACCGGAACATCACGTCCATCTCCAGACAACCGAGGGTCACCAGATGTGACAAATGACGCAATGAGTTTCACAGAAACTGTATATTTCCGTTTCGATTTATTTAGGGAAATATGTAACAGCATCATTTTCCTACTAAAAATATTTATATACACATCTAGCTGAAGAGATTTAAAATGAAACTATAAACAGTAAAATACAAAACGCGCGCATAAAAAAATAAATAATGTGTCTCACAACAGTTTGTCTTCCTCGGTTAATCACATCATGCTGCTTTCACTCGTCACCAAATGCAGTAAATAAACCAGCTACATTGAAAAAAGCACAACATTCAGAAGTTCTCCGTGTTTTTACAGATTAGGACATAAAATCAAACTATTCACATTTTAGCAAGCAGCAGCTCGTATGGTGAGCTGCATGGAAGTGCAGTCGGTTCTCTCTATGGCTTTCTGCTGAGGTCGTGTGACGGTGTCCGCCACAACCGCTCAGCTGTCTCAGTGCATCCAGATAAACATCTCTAACAGCTGCTGGTCTGCGTCGTCCCTGATTCAGACACATACGACTTGCTCTTCTTGGAGTATTTCATGGAGCTGAAGGAAACCCTCATCCTCTCCACGGTCCTGCTGCTCCTGCACAGCAGAGTGTTCTTTACGTGCTCCCTAAAATCCTCCGACACAAAGTAGTAGACGAACGGGTCCAGGAAGCTGTTGAGACTCGCCAGACACAAAGTGGAGATGTAAAAGCCGTACGTCTCGTCTATCACGCTTGATTCCAGTTCTTTACTGGACAGCAGGGCGTAATGCACCACCAGCATGATGTTGCTGGGGATGAAACACACCAGGAAGATCACCAGGACGGTCACAATCAACACCACGGCTTTCTTTCGGTTTTTTGATGAGTTTTCCTCCGCGCTTTCCCTCAGAGTTTTCAGCAACAGGAAGTACGCCACAATGATTACGACGCAAGGAATGAAGAAGGCAACTGTACCCATGAAGAGAAAATAGCCAATTGGAAATCTGATGTATTCAAATGGATTTTCACTGTTGGCTGTTTTGACGTTTACATCATGGCAGGTGGTTATGTTGGGGGTACTGAGCTTGGCAGTGTGATCATACAGAAACAGAGGAGTACTGCTGAGCCAGATGAAAGCCCAGATGGCCAAACTGACACCGATGGCAATTTTATTATTCTTCCTCTGAAGGGACATGGGGTGTGCCACGACCCAGTACCGCTGAATGCTGAGGCAGGTGATGAACAGGATGGAGCAGTACATGTTCCCATAGAAAAAGCTCACTAGGACTTTGCACAAAGGCTCCCCGTAGGTCCAGTTGTTGCCATTGACGTGGTATGCGATTTTCAAAGGGAGCCAAATGACAAAAAGTAGGTCGGCCAGAGCCAGGTTGGCCATGTAGATAGACGAAGGGTGCTTCTTCTTGGTCCTGAACAGGAACACCCACACGGCCATTCCGTTCGCAGGAAGTCCCACCGCAAACACGATGATGTAAACGGCCGGGAAGAAGGCGGTGGTAAGTCTGCTCTTTAGTACAGCTTGTGCTTCCTTACCGATCTCAACTGAATTTGAGTTGTTGTGGATTGGCTGCCCCAAAAAACTCCGACCTACAAAACAGAATAACACAAATTAGGCTGAAAACAGTCAAGCAATGAGCAGATTATAATCTGATTTATGTTTAAGAGCACAATACGCCCATAAGTATTCGGGCTGGGATTGTAAGTGGTGCACACTAAAAAGTTGGAACATTTGAGCCTGAAAGGGTCATTTTTTCCTAATCCGTGTTCCAGCCAAGCGCACAGTAATAGGTAAGTGAGTAAAGACTTTTGTGGTTGTCGCAAGTTTCTAGATTTAAATTACAAGGTGCTTGATAAGCACAAGAAAAACATGAAAGACCTGATCAGGCGCTGAGATTTTCTTACAATAAAACTTTTATCAGGGAGTTTCAGAAAACCTTCAAATCCCAACTAGGGCAACATACACCAATCTTTTATAACCTTACTTAATATAATTAATTTAAAACAACGCTGTGAGTGTAGGGCCCTCCTGTTTTTATTTGACCCTGGTTATAAATTCACCATAATCTATAAGGCAGTGTGTTTTTTTTTTACTTTGACAGTTTAAAAGGTTGATTATCACCTTTACCTTTTGATCGGACTAAACGTCCCGCGAGCCTTTATCTCAGAGACAACCAGGAGACAACCCAGCAAACGAAAACTTTTGTTCTTACCTCCTCCTCCTACTCTTGAGGCACTTGAGGCAGAAAACCAGCAAACAAACACCAGAAGCGACAAAATCAGCTTAAAATCCATTTTTGAGTTTGTCTTCTCGGTTCTTCTCACCGTGGTCTAACAGAAACTCCGTAAATCACCTAAAAACCATCCAGACGTTAAGACACGCCCCGAGACTACCTGTCCGTGTTCCCGTGTGCGTGCTTACGTCACCAGTTCAGTTCCGGTTTGCTCTAGTTTTCCTCTCAGGTTTCTATTGAGCTTCAGTAAAACACAAACGGTGGCAGAGTTGGGCTGTCAGAGTTGGGCTGATTTCTTTTCTTTGTTTTTGTAATAAAGGATTTCTGGCAGGGCCATTATTCTTCTTCACCGGAGGATACATTCTCCAGCGGAGGCACGGACGTCACTGCGGCTCAAACTGCAGAGTGCTGTCAGAGGCGCCTCCAGAAAATTTTGATATGGGTGGCCAGAGGGGCCAAAGAAATTTTGGGGGTGGCACACCAAATTGGTCCTTGTGGTAACTCCGGGAGAATTTAACCTGTGGCAATGTACTGCATTGCACCTTTATTCATTTTTATTAAAATAACAGTACATATCCAAAACATTTAACTTAAATGTTACAAACGCAAATTTTAGAAAAAATGCATTTCAGTTATACCCGAAATTTTATTTAAAATTTAATTATTTTTAGGTTCATTCACCTGTGTTGCTGTGTAGTGGCGGTTTTACCATTAGGCATAGGTCGGCGGCCACCTGGGGCCCCCTTGTGTTGGGAGCGACCTAGCCCTGACCGCCAGCACCCCTCTGTTGATGCCACAATGTTATAAAAACTTATAGAAACAAGGGTCAATCATAAAAAATCAGACAAATAATAAGAATCAAAATAATTTGAAAAAGGATCATGCAACAGGTGTGTAAGATCTATGGTGGGTATTAAAAACACACTTGATATATATAGAGAAGCAGAAAGTACTATTCAGCCATTTTCATAAACAATATGTATGTGGCCAGAGGGGGGACGCCGTTGAGGTGCAACGCCCTTTGATTTAATACAATAAAAATATAAACTTAACAACTCCAACTTGATATACAAGGAAAAATAACCTAAAGGACATTTCACCAGGGCCCCCCTCTGGAGGTGGGGCACGTCGGCAAGTGCCTGGAGGCCAGCCTTTCACCCATGGTGCCCGGCCGGGCATAGTCCGAAGAGGAGACATGTGTCCCGCTTCTCATGGGCTCACCAGTCATGGGAGGAGCCAAAGGGGTCGGGTGCAGTGTGTGACACTTCCGCACGGCTTCGAGGAGATTCTGGTCCACCATCCTACGCCTCAGGAGGGAAAAGCAGTGCGCCAACACTATTTATAGCGGGGACGGTGTGCTGCTGACCTCTACTTGGGACATTGTGGATCGATGGGTAGAATACTTCAAAAATCTCCTCAATCAATGTCTTCCAGCGAGGAAGTGAAGACCCAGGACACGCTGGAGGCACTATCTCTCTCACCTGGCCCGGGAATGCCTTGGGATTCCCCTGGAAGAGCTGGCCCAAGTGGCTGGAGAGAGGGAAGTCTGGGCCTCTCGACTTAGGCTGTTGCCCCCGCGACCCGACTCCAGATAAGCGGAAAAGACTGGATGGTTGGTATACTTTATTCTAAAAAAATCAGGTTGGAACCCTGACCCAAACACACAATTTTAAATGAGAAGTAAATTCTGTGTAAATGTAATTATCACTAGTTGGTAAAAAATGCCTTTCAGTTGAAAAAGTTACCAATCTCTGCCCTAAAATATTCTAAAAAATCGCACATTGACAACATTATCTGCATGGAACCCAACAAATACCTGCAGCCTATGAGGACCCAATGTTAAAAATGCACAGTATGTGTTCAAAATAAGGAACATTCTAAAATGACCTTTTCAGCAGCTCGTCACATGACACACCGTCTTTTAAAGGCTGCAAACCAGGCTGCTTTTAGTTCTGCATTCAGGTGAGTTTACCTGCATCATCATAATACAACAGAACAGTCCTAATCCAGAGGGATCTTTTCTCAATAAAACATATTTAACACACAAAAGTAATAAAGCAACTGTAAACCTAAAGATTTTTTTGAGAAATTCTGGACATATTTATAATCACACACAAAATACATCCAGTCAACTCTTTAATTCTTGACTTGAGTGAGGAGAATTAACTTGTGCAGCTGTTTAGCTTTCTCATTGTGTGTTTGCAAGGTAATGTCTACCCACCGTAAACAGGAGGAGATCCCAACAGCAGGAACTCACAAACATGAAAAAGCAAATCAGGCTTGAATTGCAACACAGTTTTGATGCAACATTTGTGGGTGAACAGAAGGTCACACCAAAGCCAGCCTGAACAGGTGAATTTTAAAGGAAGAAGAAGAAGAAGAAGAAGGTATAATTCTATAGCGCCTCTCAAGATAAAAATCACGAGGCGCTTCACAAAAACAAAAAATGTAAAAATATTTAAAAAAAATTAGAAAATTGTTAGATATATTTAAAATGAGCAAAAAATAGACTATTGTGATTAAAAAATGTTAAGAAAGAGAGAGTGAATAGGAAAGAGGGGAAATCAGTGGATCCTGAGGAAGGTGGAATAGGTGGGGAGAGCAGAATAAAGAGTGATGAAGAAGGTCACACCAAAGCCAGCTTGAACAAGTGAAATGGCCTGTATTTGACATAGCACCTTCTAGAGTCCTGGAACCCCCCAAGGCGCTTTACAACACAATCAGTCATTCACCAATTCACACGCTGATGGTGATGAGCTACGATGTAGCCACAGCTGCCCTGGGGCGCAATGACAGAGGCAAGGCTGCTGAGTACAGGCGCCACCGGTCCCTCCGACCACCACCAGCAGGCAGTGTGGGTTAAGTGTCTTGCCCAAGGACACAACGACAGCGACAGACTGAGCGGGGCTCGAACCTGCAACCTTCCGATTACAGGGCGAGCACTCAACTCCTGTGCCACCGTCGCCCATAAATGGACAAAAAAAATCTAAAATGTAATGTCATTTAAGATGTTAAAATTGTTTATTTATTGGCTTGTCTCAGTCTTATGGCACAAAAACAAAAGCATCATTAAAAAAGCACATCAACTGTATAAATTGTTCAATAAAATAAAACAGCAAAAATTGTTAAGAGCACATTGAATGAAAACCACATTCATTTCACACAAAGAAAAGAAAGAAAAAAACAAACAGTAACCTAAAAACATGTCCTTGAGTCCTTCGCAACCTAGTGATGGTTCCATAACTCATCACAAGTGCTAAACCTGAGTTAGATCTGTGACTTTGTAACTCATGGATGACCTCCTAGAGGTCGGTGCTTTGTGTGTTGGTGTTGCTGGAGGTATACGTGCTGTTCTTCTTGGAGTATTTCAGAGCACTGAAGGACACTCTCATCCTCTCCACTGTTCTCTCACTCCGGCAGAGGAAAGTGTTCTTCACATGATCCCTGAAGTCTTCCGAGATAAAGTAGTAAACAAAAGGGTCCAGGCAGCTGTTGAGACTCGCCAAGCACAGGGTGATGATGTAAAACCCATAAAGGTTGTTGGCGGACTCGTTCAGCAGCAGGGTGTAGTGCACCAGCAGCATGATGTTGCTGGGGGCGAAGCAGACCAGAAACATCACCAGGACTGTGACGATCAGGACCACGGCCTTTTGGCGCTTCTGGGCGAGAGAAGGCTCCGCCATGCTGTTCCTGAGAGCCACGAGCATCAGAACGTAGGACATGACGCACACAACGGTGGGAACGACAAACCCAAATGTTCCCATTGTCAGGAAATATCCTGCTGCCATCCTGATCTGACTGGGCTTGGTGATGTCGTGGCAGGTCTGGATGTTGAGGTCTGGCAAACTTACTTCTTGATCGCACAGGTAGAGAGGAATGGAGATGACCCAGACCACCACCCAGATTGTGATGGAGACCAAAACTGCTACGCAGTTGCTCTTTTGTCTGTGGGCCAGTGGGTCAACCACAGCCCAGTAACGCTGGACACTTATGCAGGCGATGAAGGCGATGGAACAGTACATGTTGCTGTAGAAGAACGCCACCAGCACCTTGCACAACCCGTCTCCATAGATCCAGTTGTTATTATTAAAGTGGTACGCTATTTTCAAGGGGACCCAGATGACGAACATCAGGTCGGCCAGAGCCAGATTGGCCATGTAGATGGATGACGGGTGTCTTTTCTTGGTTCTGAAGAGGAAGACCCAGATCGCCAGCGCATTGGCGGGCAACCCCACAACAAACACGATGATGTAGACCACCGGGAGGAGGACGGTGGTGAGGGGGCTTTTGAGGACGGCTTCGACGTGAGCGTTCACCCGTACGCCATTTCCTATCTCCAGGCCTATGAAGCCTCTGGTTTCTGTGGATCATTAACATGAAAATATATGAAAAGCAGAACGACGAACACACCTACAACTCAAACATCATGGTCTGTGGCCTGCCTTCTACCTGGAACTATGACTCACCTGCATTTCAACATCACACATTTCTTTAAAAAACACTTTTTTAAACTGGCATGAAACAGTTTTTCTTTAGAGTAAACAAAAACAATGACGCATGGAGCTAAAATGAACCTTCAGCGGTGTAATCGAGCCCTAATGGGCACATTTATAAATAATAATAATTACCATTCTCTGTCAGAGTCTTCCGTGTGCAGCAGAGAAGCAGGAGCAGCTGGAGCCACCTTGTCCTCACAGACATAATAACGTTAGGGTTACTTTAAGCTGACCTGCTGCCGCTGCAACTGCTTCCCGCATACAACTAGCTCTCACACCTGGGCGACGTCACGTACTCACGTCACCACCACCGAGCCGCCTCACTCCAGCGACACGCCCTGCTCTTCGGGTGTTTTAAAAGTGTTATTCGCTCTCCACGAACCGGCGAGGAGATAGAGTAAACACTCGAATCCTCCCAGGTCCGTTAGATATGAAACAAATATGGATTACAGTTTAAATGTACGGAATTAAACGTAATTTGTAGCTGTCCTCCCATTTTTTTTAGTTCTCGCGAGATTTGTAAACGGTTTCTCTGGGTCAAAGGCAGGATGTGTGTCACTGGGGATTTTCCGGAAATAAATAAATAAATAAATAGTTAATAATTATAAACTGTTGGAAATATTTAGCCTTGATTTTGTTTTAAAAAAGAGTAAAACTGGCTGTTGCTTTACAAATTTGCTCTAATATTTTTAAATATCAGAGTCTGAACGCCTTTATTCCGTATTCACTGTATTTGAGCACAATTAAACTGTAGAAGGAACTCTAATTGTTCATTTGGCGTGAGAAAAAAGGCAAAGATTCAGAGAAAGATAAAATCAAGAGTTGGGATGAATTACAGACACTTCGCAGTAAACATGCTGCTTCACTCACAGACAAATATGTTGAGGTTGTTTGGGTGCACAACAAATCACCTGCAGGTACTTTGGATGAACGGGACATTAGCATCACCTAGTGGTGAAGAATGAAATAGTCAGTCTACTTTCAGATGACAAAGTTTTATTTCCTCTACTTCTCAAACATTAAAATTAATAATTTACTTTTTGTATAAGTTATTACTTAGCCTGTTAACATCTACACTAAACCACATATATGTAGACTCTCAGTTGTCCAGGGCATGGTAATCTTAAACGTTTAGTTTTATCTTTTGTGTTGTAATTTTGTTGAAGACAATAAGGATGTTGTAAGAAGCCATGGTGAGAATTGTTTCTTTCCAGCAAGGTTAACACGTTCAAGTCCCAATTTAATCAGCATCCCAGTAATGTTATTTATTTATTTATTTATTTATTTGAGTTTAGTTTAGTACTTTCTTCCTGTAAAATTTGCTAGTTGGAGTTGTCTAACCACTGCCAGTTATGAATATATTTATCAAATAAATGATTAGTGGTTGTTTTTATTAGCTTCAACCCTTCAGAACATAATATAAAGTTCATGTGAAATAACAGTAAATTCCATTAAGCTGAAAATGTCATATGAAACAGTAATTGTAGCAGACACATACATTTAATGCAAAGTTGTCACAGCAAGTCAAAGAGGTTTCTGGTGTTTGTTGATGCCTCATAAATAAATAATAGCAGATTTTTATTCATTCATTTGTTTTTAAAATACATACTTCAAAGTAAAATATACAGATTGTACATTTGAAAGATTCTTTTAGAAGTAAATGAAAAAAACTCAAGCAACAGTTTTTGTTTCTTCGTGCCCGAAAACGAATAAAAACACTTGTTAATTGATGCATGAAGGCAGTTTCAGGTGGACGAGAGTATCACTGTTCTGTTTCCACCAGCAGGTGGCAGCATGTAACAGTTTTCAGTCTCAAATATTTATTTAGAGGTAAAAAAAAATGAAAACGTGTCAACGTGTGTGTATGTTTACCATAAAAGATAAACCACACGACTGACGGCTTTGCACACAAGATAAACGGCTACTCTAACAAGCTTATCTAGAAACAAATACATAAAGGTGAGATTTAAATGTAACAGCCTATTTGTAAAGGTCATAATCGGTGAAGAAATGTAAATTTACAGTGCAAAACCAAAACATTCCTTTGTACATTTCTGAGCTCAACCTTCTCCTCAGCTTGGACTTGACTTCATATGTTTGTCAGTGCTTGTTAGGTCTCCATCAGAAGTTCAGTTTCACTTTATTTCTTTCACTAAAGAGTAAAGTTAACGCTAAGTGCTCTGTGTGTGCAACTTCAGAAAAGTCCGCTTCAGAACATCTAAATCACAGTTCAAACGCCCGGATTCCTGCTGCTCGGTGGGATCAGATCAGCAGCTTCTTGTACTGACTACTGAGGCTCGTTTGGAAGGAGTCCATCCCAACAGCTGAGGAGCTTATTTTGGACGTTTCAGTACGACTGGACATCCTGGAGCTGGATCTGCACGAATCAGATGAACGAGTGACTCTTCTCCTGTCAGACACCTTCCGACATCTCAGCAGGGCGGAAAGCATTTTCTGGCACTGGGATGACCCAAAGTAGTAGGCAAGGGGATCCAGGAGGCAGTTCAGGCTTCCCAAACACAAAAACATCAGATATAATCCGTAAGTGCCATCAGGAGTCTCCTTGTTCTCCTCTATCTGGTTGTTGAATGACAGGTAGTGCACCAGGAGGAGGCAGTTTGTAGGCATGAAGCACAGCACGAATATCACCAGCACCGTCAGCGCCATCATGCCTGCTCTTCTTTTCCCACGGGAGTTTCTGGGAACTCCACGAGGCACGATGCTGAGGGACCAGATGACCGTCGTGTAGGAGACGGCCGTGACGAGCAGAGGCAGGAAGAAGAGAAGGGAGGAAAGGATGATGAAGTAAGTCTTAATCCAGAATATGTCACCGATGTGTTGGATGTCGTGGCAGGTGGTGATGTTCAGGGCACTCAGGTGAACTTTCTGATTGGTGAGGACAAGAGGCAGAGAGCCGGCGAATGATATGATCCACATGGCCACACAGGCTATGACAGTGTTCCGGGGCCGCCTCCAAGCCAGGGAGTCGATGGGGTACACGACAGCGAGAAGTCGGTCCACGCTGATGCAGGCGATGAGAAGAACAGAGCAGTACATGTTCCAGTAAAAGGCGGCCGTCACCACACGGCACATGAGCGAGCCGAAGATCCAGTTGTTGCCTTGAAAGTGGTAGGTGATCTTAAAGGGGAGCATCAGAGCGAAGAGGAGATCAGCAAGGGCCAGGTTCAGCATGTAGATGGCTGCCGGCTTCATGGGTCGGATTCCCCAAGCGAAAGCCAGAACTGCAAAGAGGTTAATGGGAACGCCGATGGAGCACACCAAAGTGTAGAAGGATGGCATGAGGATGGTGGAGACGGGTCCGGTCAGAAACAGCACCGCCTCTTCAGAGACTCCACTTTTATTACACACCTGGCTTCGATTATTTGTGTGGTTCTTCGCCCGGTTATCGTCATCGCCAATGATGTCACTCAGGTCTATCGGTTCGTCCGTGGGTCCACAAAAAAGGACAAAGGTCCGCGGAGGAGCTGTTGCTAGAGAAAGAAACAAAAATGGTTAATCAGGGACATCTGACAAACATCCCATAATAACAGCACTGATACGAGTGATTATTCAGTAAAGAAAATGGAACAAAAGTCAACTGTTTGGGTCGACTCTTAAGGTTTATATGTTTGTGTGATTGCTTTGTGCAGTGATGAGTTTTAAACGAAGATCAGACTGAGATGAGGAAGAGTCTCAGCTCCCAACACGCCACGCTCCTGCAACGCTGACGGAGCTGCAGCGGTGGTGGAGTCAGTTCTAGATAAACTAGTGAAAACATCCTGTGGAAACACCACACACACACACACACACACACACACACACACACACACACACACACACGCACACACACACGCACACGCACACACACACACACAAACACACACACACACACACACACACGCACGCAAGCACGCACACACGTTTCCCTATAGCCATAAACATTTTTTCATTATTTTATGGTAGATTTCGATCATTTTTCAGCTCTTTGATGTATTTTTAAACAAAAACAGATTAAAAGTTCATCTTTTCTCTTCTTGCCTTTTAAAACTTCAGCTTAATGATCGCAATTTACCTTTTTATCCATAAGCAGCCATCTGCCGTGTCTGTGCACGAATATCATCAGCATTTAGATAAATCCATTTGTTCTCCTAAATGTTTCAATTATTGTTTGTTTATTTGGGCATTTATACTTCCAACAACTAAAAAAGTCCAAAATGACTCCCAGAATAGAAATAAAGTAAAATGAATGACAGCGATATTGTGCGCCATGATTTAAAAAAAATCTGCATCGGTATCAGTTTTGGAAAGATCGGTTGACCTCAAACTGTTAAAATTGTTCATGAAACATATAATTAGTGACTTCATTTATATAAATATTCCACTTTTATTTGTAACTCAGAACAACAAATGAAAATGAAATAAATAATAAATATTAAAGAATGCAAAAACTTTTTTTTCTTCATAAATAAAAAAAATCAGACAAAAGTCAGAGCATCTGTTGAAATCCCACCAGAGCCCTGTTTGTTGTGGAGAATTATTTAGTCTGAGTGACTCAGAGAAACGCCGTTTTACTGTTTCTCCAACTTTCACAAGAGCTTTTCTTACCGCTCATTTCTGCAGCTGAAACAGCACAGATCCACATCAGAACCAGGGAAAAAGTCCTCAGATCCACGGAGAACATGTTGCAGCTGAAAACCAGGATCATCTAATCAGCAACGAGGATGTTTGTAGGAACAGCGTTCTGTGTTTCCCTCCCAGCTTCTTTCCTCTCTGGACCTCCAGACTGAAGTGGCTGTGG